TGCTTACCAAATTCCACAAAAGATCTTTTTGAATTTTTTAAAAAGATTTTATTTATGTATTCATGAGAGACACAGAGAAAGAGAGAGAGAGGCAGAGACACAGGCAGAGGAAACTTGATCCCAGGACCCCAGGATCACGACCTGAACCAAAGGCATCTGCTCAACCCCTGAGCCACCCAGGTATCCTGATCTTTTTGAATTTTGACTGTTACTACACTATGAATCAAATTGTAAAGAATGGGCATCTTCTGGACGCCTGGGTAGCTCAGCGATTAAGCACCTGCCTTCAGCTCAGGACGTGATCCTGGAGTCCTGGGATCAAGTCCCACGTCAGGCTCCCTGCATGGAGCCTGCTTCTCCCTCTCCCTCTGCCTGTGTCTCTGCCTCTCTCTCTCTCTCTCTCTCTCTGTGTGTGTGTGTGTGTGTCTCTCATGAATAAATAAATAAAATCTTAAAAAAAAAAAAAGAATGGGCATCTTCACAAAATCATGTTTTCCATGCTATGAATATGGGAATACTCTCCAGTCATTTATGTCTTCTTTCAAGTCTTTCAATAAAATAAATAAATAAAATGCTAAAATCTTCTCCATGGTAGCCATGCTCACTTGCTCATCTTTTGATAGACGTGATCTTTGGCACTTGATGTAATATTATTAGTTTTATTTCATGTCCATTGAACTGCTGCTGTTATCTAGAACTACAATTTATTTTTGTACATTGATTTTATATTCAGAATACTTCCTAAATGCTCTAATTCTACTAATTTATCCATAGATTCTTTCAGGTTTTCTACTTACTCAGTCATGCCATCTGAGACTAGTGGTAGTTTTATTCCCTTTCCAATCTTCATATCATTTGTTTCTTTCCTTGCCTTACTGTATTTCCAGGATTTTCAGTGCAATGCTGATTAGAAGTCATAGCAGGCATTGCTTTATTCTTGATCTCAAAGGAGATGCCTTCCAATGTTTCACCATTAGAACGTCTGCGGTAGGTTTTTGTACATATTCATTATGAGATTAAATATCTTTTTATTTCCAGTTTAATTTGATTTTAAAACTATTATTATAAATGGGTATTTAATGTTATCAATAGGTTTTCTGTATCTTTGGGGACAATAACATAATTTTTCTACATTATTCCATTAATGTAGTAAATTAAATTAATTGTATTTCTAAAGTTATTCAACTTTATGTTTCTGGGGTAAATGCAATTTGGTTTTAATCCTTTTTATACATGACTAGACTTGGCTTGTCAAATATTTGGCTTCAGATTTTTGTACCCATTTTCAGGAGATGTCTGATAATTTTCCTTTCCTGTCCAGTTTTCTGGTCCTAGTCCAGTTTTGGTATCAAAGTATATTAGTTTCCAATAATGAGTTAGAGAAATGCTACTCCTTCTCCGTTTTCTAAAGGAGTTTGTCTCATACTAGAATTATTATTATTTTTTTAAGATTTATTTATTTATTTACTCATGAGAGACAGAGAGAGAGAGGCAGAGACACAGGCAGAGGGAGAAGCAGGCTCCATGCAGGGAGCCCGATGCGGGGCTAGATCCCAGATCCCAGGATCATACCCTGAGCAGGAGGCAGACGCTCAACCGCTAAGCCACCCAGGTGTCCCTAGAATTATTTCTATATCTAATGTTTGACAGACCTTGCTGGTAAAGTGATCTGTGCCAGGAGTTCTCTTAACAAGGAGATATTTGGCTACTGATTCAATTTCTTTAGTAGTATAGCACTATTCTATAATTTGCCTTTTCTCTTTGACTCAGTTTTGTTTGTTGTATTTTTCTGGGAATTTGTCCCCTCTAACTTTTCAAATTTGTTGACATAAAATTGTTTATACAATCTTCTTGGTATCATATTAATGAGTCCAAGATCTGTTGCGATGACTCCTTTGTCGTTCCTAACATTAGTTATTTATACCTTTATTTTCCCTTGCTCTTCCCCCATACCAACCTTTCTCCCAATTTTATTAGTCTTTCCAATAAACTACCTTTTGGATTTGTTGATCCTTTCTATTGTATACTGTTTCCTACTTGATTCATTTCTGCTCTTATATTTGTTATTTCTTTCCTTCTGTTTTCTTTTGGCTTATTTTATCATGTTATTTCTAACTTCTTGAAATAGATGATTTATCCATTGATCTTCAGGGTCTTTCCTTTCTGATCTACTTACTTAAGGCTATAAATTTCATCTAAAAATTAATTATATACAATAGTAGGTTATGCAGCATTTACATTATTACATTCAGTTCAAAATATTTTCTCTCCTTTCTTGCCTTCTCTTAGATAAAGTATTTTCCAGTATTCTAGTTTTATCTTCTACTATGTGTGAAATTAAATGTTTTGTTTCCATTGTTTTAAAGATTACTACAGAAATAACTACAGAAATATCAAAGTGTACAATTAATCAGTATCTCCTCTTGGACAATATAAGGCCCAAATACACTTTTAATACCATTTAAACCCCTTCCCAATTTTAAACCCCTTCCAACTTACATATTATTTTTGACATGTGCTTTAATCATAGCTTTTCTTTTAATACCACAAGGCATCATTACTGTTTTATATAGTCAATTTAACTACATATTTACTACTTTAACTGTTCTTTATTTCTTCACAAACTGTAGGCCTTCCATCTAAGGATCCCGCTAGGATCACTTCAGTCTATATAAGATATATGCATTAGATCTTCTTTTAGTGAGAGTCTGCTGTTAAAAAAAAAACTGTTTTGTTTATTAACCCTTACTCTTGAGATATAAAATTCTATGTTGGCAATTTTTTTGATGATACTATCTCACTGTCTTCTAACTTTCCTTGTTATATTGAGAAGTCAGTTGACTTCTATATATATCACTCCTTTGAAAGCAGTCTGTCTTTTTTTTTTTTTTCATTCTGGGTTCTTTTAAAAGCTCCTTGTCTTTGGAATTCTGAAGCTTCAATATGATGTGTCTAGGTATGTTGCTTTTTATTTATGTTGCTTGGGTTTTCATTAAACTTCTTAAATTGCTGTATTGAGATTTCTGTTTTCATTTCCAATAAATTTTGATCCATTATCTCTTCATATATTGTTTCTCCAAATTTCTCTTTCTTCTACTACAGTTCTGATTAATTGAGTTAGGTCTTCCCATACTATCCTCCTTGCCTCTTAACTTTTAATCTATATTCTCCAGTTTATTTTTTCTCTAGCCATTTTTTCTACCCTATCTTGCAATTCACTAACTATATTTTTACCTATTTCTAATTTGTTGTTAAACTTTTCTACATTGCATCTACTATGAGATCCAATTCCTGGTCCTTCTCAGAATAGAATGGTTGTTATTTCATTTATTCATTTATTCAATTAATACTGAGTACTTATTATGTCTCAGGCATGGTGGATGAATAAATTTTGGATATACAGTAGATTCACTACTTTATTCAAAGCAGGCAAGACCCCTGCCCTCATGAAGCTCATAATCTAGAGGAAAGAACATACATTTAAGAGGTAATTAAATATGCACACTCCTTTCATACTGTAGTAAATATGATGAAAGAGAAAAACAAAAATCTGGGAGAGAGAATGGGTGTTGGAGCTTCCACTGTGCCTCGTTTATCTCCATGAAAGCTCACATCATGGTTTATTGTAATTGTCTGATACCTGTGGCTATTATTCCTTGGCTACCAACTTGTCTTTTGTCTTACACTATTCCTCTCTGAGCCATCATCCCTAATAGGGATAGACCCAAATTTGACTCTGCTTCCCTTTCTCCTGGTCACCCTGCTGACTTAGCATGGCATGAGTCACACTTGCTCTGAGAAACAAAGTTCTGAGAAAACTGAGCCAATGAAGAGGTGACAGAAAAATAAAACACCTAGCGTAAGGGATTTGGAGCATGTAGGGGTGGAAAAATCACTCTGGAGTTGTCAGATGAACCTGATCCAGATAAAATACTCTGTGCTTAGATGAGCAAACAGATAGTGAAGTAAATAGAAGTACATTTTGAGTACTGTTGGAAACAGTGGCACATAAGTACCTCCTGTGCCTTGAGAAAAGCCCTCACAGTAATAAGAGATCTCATGACAAAACCAAACCTAAATATTTGGACTGTGAAAAAACAGAAGACGAACATGCAGTCAATGAATCCACATTTTTCCCTAACACCATAGTCTGGAAAATAAGCCATTATATCCTCAGGGTTTCAAGATCTTAAAAGAAGTCCTAAAATGGCAGGAAAGGGCCTCCCAGTGCTTCCTTAAACTGGGAGCATTTACCGTCAAATCTCTGCTTCAGCAGCTGCATGGTCTTTGGAAGATTGCTTAATCTTACTCACTTTGAGCTCAATTCCTCATCACAAAATATGAATAATAATTGGTCTTCTAGGGGGGTTTAATACTTAATATATGATAGGCATCATATTTTTATATGTAATTTTTTGAGCACCCAGCTCAGTGCTGAGCACATAGTAGATGTTCAATAAATGTTTTATTGTTCGATTAGCTGTACTTTTATTATTGGGACTTCTCTCAAACAGTGAGGATGCATCTCTAAGATAAATGAGCAGGTGGTCTTTGCAGCCCCATAGAGGCTTTCAGAGGCCTGGTGATCGGTCTGCAAAGAGTAACACGGGGTCATTCCAAGACGAATTCACTCAGTTAAGCCCCTGAAGCATGGGAAGGAAAAGACTTCCTCCATTCACCTGGGCCAAGTGCCTTGCTGGATCTATTTATTTTCCACCTCCCTAGGTAGACATGGTCACAGAAACAGAGCAATGGGTATATTCTTTGTTTAAATAAATAAATGCACTGGGTAATGCTTATAAACATTCATAGTCGAGCTGAACTAAAAGGAAAACTCAGCTCGACTACTGAAGCTCAACATATCAGCAGGCAGTTAATTAGACATGAGCTGCAGGCAAGAGCAGTAATAAACAGGTTACACATTAGAAGCCTGGAGGCACTGGCTTAGAAGGGGGGGGGGCACGTAAGGCACGTAAACTCCTAAGCCCCGCCCCTGGCAGCGTCTTATAAATACGCACTTCCGCCCGTTTCCTCCTCTCTCCTTTTCGCTGCCATCTTGGTGGTGTGCTGTTGCCTGTTCCTCGCTGTGTCTTCTCACAAGATTTTCAGAATCAAGCGATTCCTGGCCAAGAAACAAAAGCAGAATCGTCCCATTCCCCAGTGGATTCAGATGAAAACTGGTAATAAAATCAGGCACAACTTCAAGAGGAGGCACTGGAGGAGAACCGAGCTGGGCCTCTGAGGAGGCGTCGCACGTCGCAAGATGGCAGCCAACCGGCCCATATATTTAAGCAGCGTGGGGATCACAGGTTCCTGTCCTGTCCGCACGGAAACATCCTTCCTGCCTGGCCATAGACAAGTCTTACTAAGGAAATTATTTTCTTGGTTACTATGCTTCTATACCCATTCGTTGGTTCAGTAATGTAGACCTTTCAGCTGAAAAAAAGAAAAAGAAAAAAAAAAAAAACAAAAACAAGACTGGGGGCACAGCATCCGAACTTTGTGGCTTTCAACATCCAGCATCCTCAACATCCGGGCCTTGTGACTTCCAAGACTCCAGCGCTGAGGACCAAGGGCCACCGGTGCAGCATGTGAACTGCATCCCTCTGCATCTCCGCCCCAGGGTAACTCATAGACTCATCATAATGCATTTGCACCGTGATTTCACCCCCCCACCCCCCGGGGGGAATGATGGCATGACTGCTCAGGTACAAACCTTTGTAGGGTCCAAAACTCTCCCAACTTGTGAGAAGGTACTTTTCAGATGATCCGAAGCAGGCTTCGTTAAAGACCACCCTCCATGACCCGAGACCTAGTTCATAAAAGGAAGAGACGCCTGTAGCCTCGACACACACCTGGGGGGTCCGCCCACTATCCCTTCTTGACAGTGTCCTGTCCTCAAATAAACTGTGTTTACTGCTTTCCTTCTAGCTGGCTTTATTCAAGCATGGATCCTCATCAGGAATCCAAGAACCAAGACTCCCATTCACACTGCGTGGACTCTCCTTCCAGGGACAGGTGCATGGCATTAGCTTTATCCAGCAGACCACTGGCTCGCTCCCAGGCCCTGTACCTCTCTTTCCCGGCCAGAGTCCTGTCCCACACCCTGCCGGTCTTCAGTCAACTCCTAGGTTTTAACTTCCCCCACAGAGCAGCAAAAACCATCTTTTTTTTTTTTTTTAAATTTGTTTTTATTGGAGTTCAATTTGCCAACATACAGCATAACACCCAGTGCTCATCCCGCCAAGTGCCCTCCTCAGAGCCCATCACCCAGTCACCCCAACCCCCCACCCACCTCCCCTTCCACCACCCCTTGTTCATTTCCCAGAGTTAGGTGTCTTTCATGTTTTGTCACCATCACTGATATTTTCACTCATTTTCCCTTTATTCCCTTTCACTAATTTTTATATTCCCCAAACGAATGAGACCATATAATGTTTGCCCTTTTCCGATTGACTTACTTCACTCAGCATAATACCCTCCAGTTCCATCCACGTCGAAGCAAATGGTGGGTATGTCATTTCTAATGGTTGAGGAATATTCCATTGTATACATAGACCACATCTTCTTTATCCATTCATCTCTCAATGGACACCAAGGCTCCTTCCACAGTTTGGCTACTGTGGACATTGCTGCTAGAAACATCGGGGTGCAGGTGTCCCGGTGAGAAACGATCTTCTTTACTCCGCCATCTGCTTCACTTCCACAGCTACCAAATGCCAAATCATGAACTGTCAGAGGTTAGGGTAGGGAGCTTCCTGCAAGGTCACCACTTTGGGCTGCTTCCCTGAGCATTTAATGGAAACTTCAGCTCTACAGGAAACTATTGCTGGGGCCCTGGTACCTGGGGGTACAAGGAGGCTCCCTCTGAACTTGGTCCCAAACCAGTCTGTGACACAGAATAAGAAGGGATTCTCAGGGAAGGAGGAAGGCATTCTGCAAGGCTCCCCACCTGAAAGGGGAAAGTTCACCTTAGACATTTTGATGGAAAATTTGATGGACCTAATCAATAAATCATCTAAAATTCAAAGTGATTTTGCTCTTACCACAAAGAAAAAAACAGGGTCAGAATTTTTCTTCTCCAAAGAGCCTGAGCCACTCTTTAGAAAGGAAGTTTGATATTTATAATTAGGGATTTCTTGTGATCATCTGGCAATAATTTTGTAAATCAAGAATGGAGACAGAATTAAATACTCAGATATGAGTTTGATACATCATAGTTAAGGTCAGTCCTGTGACAGTAAAATAGTTAATCTTGGGTTCACAGCTGTGGGGTAAAACAGGAAAAAAAAATAGTTTATTTCCTGAAAGCTAAAGACTAGGCTCTCTCTCTAATCCCAGACCACATTATCTTGATAAATAAGGAAGTTGTGCTTATTAACAGGAGCTTAATAAGATTCCATCCCCCTTGAAATATCCTGAAGACATTGGTGGCTTTCCTTTCTAGCGACAAAGTGTGGTAAGCAACCCCGAGTCATTTCCTGCCCTGTCCTTGACTCCCTGCAGCAGCCTGTGGACATGGCTGACCAGGGCGCAGAGCCATGATCTATCTTCCAGCATATGGATGTGAGGGCAGCGCCATCTCACAGGAAAGCACAATTTTGTTTTACATTGTTTAATATAAAGCACAAGCTGTCCCTATTCTGAGGCTGGAGAATTTGATTTCCTTTCTTGTCTGTGGAAATGGGCTCCGTATCTGACCCTATTTAGCCACAGAATGTTAACAGTAACTTGGGCCATGGCAGAGAGCGGTACTAACCCTTCTCACTGAACTGGCACCCAACCTCGGAATGCAGAGCTCTTGGCAGCCCCACCAGCCAGAGTAGACGTGCGATTAAAACTACCATATATTTCCTCAGTCCAACAAATCATATTATTTTTTTTTCCCCTAGGAGAGGAGAACACATCACTATTTCAATGGTTGGCACTGGAATCCTACTGAGAGGAGGGAAAAACTAGTTCTAGCAACTAGTCTAGAATGCACGTTCTTCTGAAGCTCTTTTCCAGTGCTACTTTCAGATTCCCCTCGGAGCTCCCTAACTTCTCAGTCAGAATCTAATATAGGCCACCACTCTAGATTCCTGCAGCCTTGAGGAATGAGGAAGGGTGGTGCCTATGTGAAATGAAGCATGGGGGAGAGAGGACCCCAGATACTGAAAGAAATGGTAGAAGCCAGGAAAGAGTAGAGAGGCAGGCTGCAGGGTGGACAAACTCAGAGGCAGACACGAGAATCCTGCAGACAAGGGGGTAGGGAATGGGGAAGCAGGTGGATGAGGGTAAGGGCCTGCGGGGGCTTTCCAAATAGATATTTATTTGTGTAACATATCTGTGGTGATAATTCACGTATAATCTAGTACCCAGACTTTTTTGGCAATATATAACCTCAGAAGTACTTTCTATGTTAATAGTACATTATCTTCATAAATATTTCCAATGGTGTCAAATATCATTATGTTTACAATTTTTTACCATGGGATAATTCCTTCATGGTACATTATCAGCAATGGAATTTACCAGGTCAAATGGTAGGATATTTTTGAACTTTTGATAGATATTGATATAGTTTTTATGCCCATCAATACTGATGGGGATCCCAATTTCTCTGCACAAGAGAAGCTCTCTATTTAGTTCCATTTATCTCCTGGAGGGAGATGTTTTTTGACTGACAGTTATTTTTAGAAGCTACATTCTTAAAGATAAAAAAGCTAAGTCAAAAAGTACACATATTTGAACTTTTGGAAGACAATGTCAATTGCCTTCCATATAGGCTAATACCATTTAAACTCCCAACTATAATGTTCATTCAGCAAACATGTATGAAAATATTCATTCCTCCCATCATTGGAGACCATGGGTACTATAAAACTCTTCTGGTCAATCTGGTGGTCAAAAATACCATATCACCTTAGTTTATATTTTCACAACTGCTAAAGAGGCTATCTTTTCATATTATTAGCTACTTGTGTTTTTTTTCATCTGTGATTGCCTGTTCACATACCTCACCCATTATTCTATTAAGTTATTCATATTTTGCTTATTGATTTGCAGAAGTCCTCTAAATATTACCAAAATAACATTGTCTGATATGTATATATTGCAAATATTTCCTGTCTCTTTGTCTTTAATGCTTCTGTTATATAGAAATTTTTAATTTTCCTATATAGTCAGATCCATCTGTCTCTCTCTTTTGGCACCTGTGTTTTCATCTACCTTAGGAGGGTCTTACTCTCCTATGATTATTAAAATTCTCTTATTTTTATTCTAATAATTTTTTAAATTAAAGTTAACTGTATGGAATTTTGTTTTGTGTATGTTGTGGAGTGTGATTTTATTTTTCTAAAATAGATGAGCAGTTGTCATTTATCACAAACTAAATCCATAGTCTTGGATTGAGTTTTACATTCTCTAATTATTAACTTCATAACAATTTTTATTCTACTGGAAGAAGATAATTCCTTGATATCTTTCCTATTTCAAAATTTTGTTGGTTATTCCTGTGTATTTACATTTTCGAATGAACTTTAGAATCATCTAGAAAAGGATTGCTTTTTAAAAATAGCAATTAATTTTCATTGAGATTACTCTAAATTGGGATCCCTGGGTGGCGCAGAGGTTTAGCACCTGCCTTTGGCCCAGGGTGCGATCCTGGAGACCCGGGATCAAATCCCACGTCGGGCTCCCGGTGCATGGAGCCTGCTTCTCCCTCTGCCTGTGTCTCTGCCTCTCTCTCTCTCTCTCTGTGACTATCATAAATAAATTTAAAAAATTAAAAAAAATTAAAAAAAAAAGAGATTACTCTAAATTTATATGATAATTTGGGGACAAATAATATACCTTGGTAATATACCCTGGTGATAATATTAAATCTTTCTATGCATAAGATGGCATCACTCTCTATTTATTTATTTATTGTACTATTTTTATATTCTATTTTTATTGATATCTTCAGATTTTTCATTTTGTCTTATTTTTTAATAACTTTATTGAGATACAATTCACATGCCATAAAGTTCACCTTTTTAAAATTGTATAATTAGTGGTATTTAGTATAGTAACAGAGTTGTGCACTGATCACCATTGTCTAGTTCCGGAAGATTTTTATCTCCCCTAATAGAAGCTCCATATCTATTAAAAGACACTCCTCATTCCTTTCTTCCACCTAGCCCTTGGAAACTACTAATTTACCTTCTAGCTTAGATTTGCCTATCCTGGATGTTTCATATAAGTTGAATTCTACAACTG